AGCGCGTCTCAGGGCCGCGGGGCGAGCGCCACAGACACTTGTTTGCAAGGCTCAGCCCCGGCGCGCTCGCGGCGCTCCGAGCGGGTCCGCCTCCTCCCAGCCAGGTGGGCGGCGGCCCTCGCCGAGCCAGCCCGGCTCCTCCTCCCGCTCCTCCTTCTCGCCCGCGAAGCCCGGCACCGGCACCGGCTCCGCGGGGTCCCCGCCCCAGTCCCCTCGGGCGGGCCCGACGCGGCCCCCCGGGAAGGCGCTGGGCTCCCCCTGGCATCGCTCGAGGACGGCTCGGGACACACACACACACACTCACGCAGCAACACGGGACACACACTCACGCACACACACACACACACTCACGCAGCAACACGCAAATCCATTCTTGCCACTCCCGGGGACCTGAGGAACCCGCGCGGAGAGGTGACCCTCCCCGGGCCTGCCCCGGCTTTCCTCTTCCTCCCCCAGCGGGGCGCGTGGTCGACTTGCGGGGAACCCTACTGCTGCCCGGGAGTGGGCGGGGGTGCCCGGCGACGGGATGGGGAGAGGTGGTACAAGGCAGGCCTGACTCCGGGATGAGGGCTGCGGGCCGGGGTCTCGAGGCCCGGCCGGTTTCCAGGTTTTCCCGCAGGGAGAGTGGAGCGGTCTGGGTCCCCTCCGGCCCCGGATCCCTGCCTCCGTCCCGGAGGACAAGCCCGTGGCGGCCAGGCTCTGCGGGGGTTGCTGCCTCCCCAACCCTTTCTTTCTCACTTCTCCGACACGGGCGCTCGCGATTTACTCGCTTTATTTCTCCCCTTTCTCCTGCGAGCTCCCACGGCAGCAGAGGGACCGACCGCTCTTCTCTCCAGCCCGCGCCTCCCCTGCCCGCCCCGCCCCACCGTCCCGGCCGATCCGCCGGTGCGCTCGCGCCCTCCATGGCTTTGCCGCGGGGTCGGAGCCCTCGCGTGGTGGGAACAACCAGTGGGCAGCGGAAAGCAAAGGCAGCCGGGCGGGGACGCTCGGTTTTCCGAGCCCCACTTTCCTTTCGCCGCCCACTGGGATGTGTAGTTCTTCCTCTCGCCGACTGGCTCCGAGAGGAAATACGACTTGGGGACCAAAAAACTACAAATCCCTGCATCCCCCGCGACGAAAGCGGGAGAGGCGCGGTGCTGGGCGTTCTGGTGCTCGGAGACTGGAGATGGGAACTAACAAAGGGAATGGTGGGGAGCGGCTGTGCCTTCCCAGTGCTGGGCACTTTACACGTTACACACGTTCTTTATCTAATCTTTGCTGCAACCCTGCGAGGCACTATTGTATCCAGTCTAGAGAACGCTCATACTTGCCAGAGATCTCAAAGTGCCCCGGTGGTGAAGATGAGAGTAAACCCAGAGCGCCGAGAATTTCCTTTAGAAAGCGCTGCGTCGTTGAGCAGTGTCAAAGGTAGATGAGACTGGTTTACCCAAGAGAGAAAAAGAACTGGGGCCAGTTGGAAAGAGCTTCCTGCAGTCAGGGGAAAGTGGTAGGGATGGCAATTATAGTAGGATATGAAATTATAAGGTGTTATGAAAAGAGTGGCATTCACCAGGGTCCATTCCAGAGCAGGTTAGGAGAATGGGTCGGATCTTAAATCTACAATCAGAATTGGGTTTGAATGATTTTAGATTTTGTATGACAGATGAACATATGATAGGAACAATTAAGTACTTTGTGACTGCACTATTTAAAAACAACGACAATAACTGGCAAGGCTTAGAAATTTCAAGTGAAAGGTCTCATGCTTACGTGTTCTTTAGCTCATGGGATCAAGGGGATGTTACTCTCACTCAGTTTATAGAACATACCTTTTCTCTCCGTGTCCAATTAATATACTAGATCCATCAATTTCCCGGCTTTAAAAAGACTTCTATTTTGGTTCTCAGTGAAGCCTTAGTTTTTCTGGCATCACCGTTATACTTTTAAAAAGTCCTTCTCTGTTAGACATACTAAAGTATTTGCAAGTGTTTTAAAATACTCCAGCCCGTCCATCCCCAAAACCATAACCATATTGATGGAACAATACTGGCAAACTATGGAAAATTGTTTACATTGGGTGATATATCTGAATTAGTTATGTATTGCCACAAATCACCACAAATTTAGCAGCTCAAAACAACATCAGTTTATTATCTCACACTTTTTATGGGTCAGGTGTCCAGGCACCTAGGGTCCTCAGCTTAACCTACCATCAGGGTGGTGACAAGGCTGTGTTTTATCTGGAGGCTCAACTGCAAAAGTATCCGCTTCCTTGCTCACTCAGGTCACTGGCAGATTTCATTTCCTTGTAGCTGTAGGACTGAAGACCCTGGCTTTTTGCTAGCTGTCAACTAGAGACTGCCCTCAGCTCCTAGAGGGCACCTGGAGTTTATTGTCCCATGCCCTTGCCCAACATGGTCACTGACTTCATCAAGCTAGCACTGAGGGTTCCCGGAGTAAGTTTGTTAGCAAGATGGAATCTTACATAACGTAAGTCATCACACAGGGGTGACATCAAGCTGCCATATTCTATTGGTTAGGAAGCAAGTCACAGTTTTTGCGCACACTCAAAGGAGAGGATTATACAGGGTATGGATACCAGGATGACAGGGCCACGCTAATGTCTGTCCACCACAGGGTACAAGAGGATCCATTATGCTAGTCTTATCTACATCTACTTGTGTTTATGTTTGAAATTTTCCATAATAAAAAGAAATAAGTTATTCCTTGTTTCTTCCCACTGCATGTTTACTTAGACCTATGGCAATAGATTCACTTAGGACACATACCCTAAAGAAGTTCATTAGAACCTGATGTGATGGCCACAGATTTTAGCTCACCATCTAAAAGCTACTCTATAAGGTATGGTAGAGTTTACTCATTCATTCATTTCACAATTGTTCATTTAGGGGCCTAGTCTGTGCCAGATCTGTTTTAAGTACTATTTTAGTGGCAGGGACATAAAAGGACCCCAAACAGACATTTATATTTGAGGACTAGAGGGAGAGGTGGGGAAAACAAACAATAAATGCAAATAAAATGCAAAAAACAGAAGCAAATAAATACTAAATGATAAGACAATTTCAGAGAGTAATTACAAGAAAAAAAAAAGCAGGGTCGTGGGATAGAGAGAATTTGGTGGGGAGACACTCGAGCAGAAAACCAAGTGATGAGAAACGGCAAGTGCAAAGGCTCAAGGCAGATCAAGCCTGGAAAATTCTAGGGGTACAAAGAAAAGACAGTCTGGTTGGAACAGAGTGAAGGACAGGTGAGTGGTAAGAGGGAAGGTTGGGAGGATACAGGATCAGTGAGGTGACTGGAATGATTCCACATGCACTGGGAAGGCACTTAATCAGTGACCACCACTTGTATTAAGTGGTGACTGGTCAGAAAGAAGAATAACCTATAGTACGTGGCCTTCGAGGAATACACAGATTCCACACTGTAATGCTACAAGGACCTCAGTGCATCTAGAATAATAAACTTGAACATTGGTTTTGCATATGAGAAAACTGAGGCCAAGAAAAGGAATGCCCTCCTAGGAATTCCTTGAGAATGCCTCACAACAGCAAATAATCCATAAGCGAATCTTGAATGGAAAGAGTGCATTCTCTGATTTAAAACTTTAGAAAACTGACAACAAACAATTATTTAGTGCCTTTCATGTGCAAGACAGTGTGATGAATAAGTTGACGGTGGCAGAGAAGCTATAGTTTAGTTTGAGAAACAAGATGGAGACACGTAGAAAGTAAATAATGAATTTCTTCGTGATGCAATAAAACTATCTTTCCTGGAGTATCTTCTTGTATTGGGCAGTATCCTGGTTCTTTAGACATTTAGCTCACGAGATCCAGAGGACACCCCAACGAGGCAAGGATTCTTACCGGTATTTCACAGAGGAGTAAACAAGCTCAGAGAAGTGGGGTGATGTGCCCAGGGGTTCAAAGCTAGTAAGAGCACCAAGCTGGGCCTCCCTGGATTGTTGGGGGTATTTTTGATTCCAGCGGGTCTTTCCCTGTTTACCTGACTCGGTGGGCCCACTGACTACAAGGTTATGTTATTAACAGAATTAGAGCTTTGCTCCTTTCATCTGAGCAGCTCAAAGCATTCCACAAACCCACGTCAGTAATTCTCAGAATTTACCTCCAGGCAGCCAAGAGGAAGAATGATTTTATGTATGGTGAAAGGGG